CCCTAAACCCGAAACCCCAAGCCCTGGACCCTAAACCCTGAAATCTAAGCCCTGAACGTGAACCCTTAGCCTCCTGCGACCCAGGAACAACATCTTCAGCATGACCTGCCTGAAGGGGGCCGACGAATTGGAGTGGTTTACCACGAACTTCTGCCCGGTGTTTACCACCACCACCACCTACGAAGAAGTCAGAAACTAGGTGGCAATTTGGGAAACTTTAAAATTTCCCTTATGGTTTCTATAGAGGTACCTATTCATAAGTACTTTCCAGGGCCCCAAAACTACAACCCAGGAAATCCTGCGGATGAGGCGGTCACTGGGGGCCTGCTTATCTTTGTCTGGGTCGTCCTCGCGACTTGCCGTGGGTAATGCCCGAACTCGAATCCAAAGTTCCTAAACCCTGCACCTAGTAAGATAGGGGCCTAAATAATTGCCTATACTATTTTTGGGGGTTCCTTACTATACTTATCTTGCTAGAGTTATAGTACAGCACACCCCGAAAACCCTATTCGAATGATTAAGGCCCCTATATTGATTGTCCTGAATCCCTAAACCTGAAACCCTAGACCCGAAACCCTAAACCCTAAACCCGAAACCCTAAACCCTAAACCCTAAACCCTAAACCCTAAACCCTAAACCCGAAACCCTAAACCCTATATTAGTTGTCCTGAATCCTACAGACCAAACCTTAAGCTCGAAGTCGTAAACCTGAAGCCCTGAGCCCCGCAGCCCTTTGACTCAAACCTCCAAACGTTTCAAAGAGTCTAGGTTTTTTGGCTTCGGGGTTTTTGGGCTTTGGGGTTTTGGGGCTTAGGGTTTAGGGATTCTTGAAAACCCTAAGCCCTAAATCCTAAACCTCAAACCCTAAATCCTAAACCCTAAGCCCTCTGCTTGGGCTTGTGCGGCCTAGAGGCGACAGCAGACAACAGGAGTCCCACAGTGCTCTCAGAGACATAATATAGGGGCCTAAACAACTACCTATACTATTTTGGGGTTCCTTGTTAGAATAGTAGAAAATATACCCCAAATCTCATTCTAATAATTAAGGCCTGTACTACAGTACCGTTCCAAGACTAGCATTTTTCTGCATGTTGTGTTTTCGGGATTTGCGAAGGTCTGCGGGTTTCAGGTATAATCATGATAAGGAGTCAAAATAGTATAGGTAATTATTAAGACCCCTTTTTTAAGGATTTAGGATTTTGTCGGGGGGTGTTAGGGGTTCAGGGTCTTCGAGGTTTGAGAGCAACCCAGGTCACCTGCGGTGCGGGCGTTGCTGCGCTGGTGGCCTACGGAGGATATCGCTTCGCGCAGAAGGAGCCTCTTCGACGGTGGGGTTTCCCGGGTTCTTGTGGAAGAGCTTTATATAGGCGCTTTTTTTTTGATAATTACCTATAGTATTCTGGGGACTCCTTATTATTATTATTATTATTATTTATTATTATAATTATAGTTTAATATACCCCACAGGTCCTATTCTAATTATAAAGGCCCCTACATTAGTTTTTAAGTTCCCATCATTCGGAGCATAACAAACGAGATGCCTTCCTTATTGTGTAGGGTTTAGGGTTTAGGGTTTAGGGTTTAGGGTTTAGGGTTAACTTACATGAAGTTCCTGAAGAAGACCGCAGGTTAAGTGGAGTTTTAGGGTTTGGGGCTTGTGGCCTTGGGGTGTCAGAGCCGGACACGTCTCAAGAGCCTTGATGCCTGACGGTTGAGGGTTTAGGGTTTTGGGTTCAGGGTTTAGGGTTTAGGGTTTAGGGGTGTTCTTGCAAAGGAACTGAATATAGGGGCCTAAATAATTACCTATAGTATAGTATACTATTTTGGGGGGCTCCTTATTATAATTATATTACAAAGGACCCCCAAAACCCTATCCTAATTATTATGGCCCCTATATTAGCTCAAGTTATCATAATAAGGAGCCATCTTAGTGATTATGGATCCTTGTTCTGGCAACTTAGGTTAAGTTCCTTAACACCCTAAACCCAGAACCCTAAACCCAGAACCCTAAACCCTAAAACCCAGAACCCTAAACCCTAAACCCAGAACCCTAAACCCAGAACCCTAAACCCAGAACCCTAAACCCTAAACCCTAAGAGCCCCGGAGGCCTGCCACGTGGCTCCTGGAGGGGTATATATATATATATATATTAGGGTTTAGGGTTTAGAGGGTTTAGGGTTAAGGGTTTAGGTTTAGGGTTCCTTTAAGTCTAGGACATTTTCGGGTGGGTAGTTACCGTTCTAGGAGCCTTATAGAAGGTCTATATACCTTATGGAAGCCTTATAGAAGCCCTATATGCCCTAAACTCCCCACCTGTAGTTTCCTTTAAGGGTTCCTTCGCGGGCTCCTTTTAAAGCGTTCCTTTTCAGGGCTCCTTCAGGGGAGTCCTTTTCAGGGTGTAGAGTTTAGGGCTTCTGGGCCCCTGCACCGAGCGGAAGCGGCTTCTGAAACAGTGTGGTGTTGAAGCCTCTGGATATCTCTGCAGGCCAATCCCTTTTTTTCTTCAACCCCCCAGAAAGGACCCTTGGAAGGCCTCAAAGGCCTTAAAGGAGCACCCTAAACCCTAAACCCTAAACCCTAAACCCTAAACCCTAAACCCTAAACCCTCAAAGAATTAGCTGACCCTTCGCATCCTGCTTTGAGCTAGGAGCAGAGGCGTCGCTCCCATGTCTCGCATGTCGTC